TTCGGACAGAAGTTAGTTCTCGATGTTGGATACATTTTTTTTACACATTTCAACTTTAAAAATTGCACTTAAGCTCCTGTTATTTAGCCTGGAATGTGACAGACTCAAGTGAATAAAAATCTACACTATTGCTTGTGGTTATTGGAGGCCCAATTGCACATTCAAAGTTCATATCTTTGCTCTAATTTCCATTATATAATCTCATTCTTTTCAAACAAATAGGGCACAAAAAAAACCTTTGCCACAACCTGTCAAAATATCAAATTCTTTCAAGAATCCTAAAAATCTTAAAATCCTTGTTACAAACCCCCATCTCATTACAAACAAGTCATCCTTGTTACAAACCCCCATCTCACTACTTCTCCAGTAAGGGTAAGGTTGGTTTGATCTCCATGATCAAAAGGGTGTAGAAGCATTCATACATGTCGTATCAATTTTAACATTATAAAATTTCATATATTTTTTCTTTGTATTTCATGGTATACTAATTTTCTTAATGTGTTCATGAGATTCAATATTAGAGGTTTGGGCCATCGTAATGGTCACATGCAGGGTTATTACAAAACGCTGAGGCCGGATCATAACAACAACCAACGACACCATGGCACAGTGGTAAAGGGGGGATCATTGAGGTTAAGGGCGTGAGATTAACACTCACCCCTATTGGTTTTGATTTTCTTCCATTCTATTTATCCTTTTTACATATTTTCATTCTTTCTGTTTAAAACCTTATTTTCATAAAACTTAACATTTTTCACAAACCTTTGATTTTTTTATAATAAACTCGAATAATTAATTTTAGGTTTTTTAATTTAATTTTAGGTTTTTAAATTAATTTTTGGTTCAACACTCACCCCTGACATTTGTATTATTTGTATTTTCTAACCGTATTTTTCATTGATGTTTCTTCCCCTATCTATTTTTTGGCAAACTTAATTCTTTCTTGTTAATCATTACACATAAACTTTTTTTTAAAACCTTTTTTTTAATTAAAATTAATTAGGTTTTAGGTTTTTTTTTATTAACTTTTTTTTTCAAAGTTAACCTTTATTATTATTATTAGTTAAAACTAATTAGGATTTAGGCATTTTAATTAACTTTTTTTCAAAATTAATCTTTTTTTTTTTAAAATTAACTTTTTTTAATTAAAATTAATTAAGTTTTTAGTTTTTTTTTAATTAACCTTTTTTTTAAATTAACCTTTTTTTTAATTCGAACTAATTAGGATTTAGGTATTTTAATTAACTTTTTTTAAAAATTAACACTTTTTTATTAATTCAAATTAATTATGTTTTTTAGGTTTATTTAATTAATTATCATAAATCATTTTTTTTATAAAAAATCACCAAAACATTTTCTTTTCTATTTTCATCTTATTTTTATTTTCCTAGATAAAGTGTACAGAGCGCGTTCAACTGTAATAGCGTAGCTTTATTTTTTCCACTTTTTTTTATCATTATCATGTAATTGCTTCCGAGATGTAATAGTTTTAGGATTTTTTTCCGCACTTTTCATTATTATGTAACTACCCCAAAGCTCTGTAATAGCTTAGGTTTACATTTCCGCTTTTACCTTCTGCTACTATATTTTATGCAATGCTTAGATTAATAGGATTGTATGGAAAGATAAAAATGAACAATAGAAAACCCTAATTGCAAGATAGATATAACTGAAAAAACACACTGTTGCACACTTGCACCCTAAGGGTATACCTCACTTGGTTGCCTCAGAAAATAATGGTCATGTCCCTCGAACGTAGGGATACCCTTAGCAAAGACCCACAGTTTAAGGTCATCATAAATATCATAGCCCCTCAATGTCTCTCAATGTTGCCTAGGAATATATGATGACAGTCCCTTCGAACTGCTAAGGTATCCCTATATGTTGCCTTCTATAACCATAACGATGACCCACGCTTGTCCCTCATACATCCAACGATAGGGCTACCTACTCACTAATAGTACGATAGCACTGTCTAAAGGATAGGGAGAAAAGAACGACTTTTTCGAGTATAAATAGATAATTCCTTAGATGCTTGCTCAAAACAACTTTTTGCACCTACACAAAAACATTTCAAAAACACTTTAAAAAATATTCGCCTTGTCAACACTCTTGAGGACCGATACAAGAGTTATCACAAAGTGATCGCCGCATTAAGGCATTTTCAAAACAATTTTCAAGCACACAAACACACAAAAGCAAGTTCAAGAATGAGCAAGTACCTAAGAGCCCATGGAAAACCATGGATAGAAAGGGTGCTAACACCTTCCCTTTCTATAATCTACCCCCCGTACTCATAAACATCTCGAAAAATGTTTTTTCTGTTCTTTTCCTTTTTCCTTTGTTGGATGAAATAAAAGTAGGTGGCGACTCTTGCTTACCGCACATTTGCGAACAAAAATTGCAAAACCAGTATTAACAGTCGGTTCTGTCACCGTATCACACTTGGGACAGTGGACCGCGGGGGTCATCTTCGTCGCTTTTTCTGAGGAGTGAGAGGGGGACCGGTTGTAGCGACGGTCTTTGTGTCGGTCTTGGACACGAGGAGGATTCCTCATCCAAGATTTTTTCTCTTCGTCGCCCATGTTCCTTTTACGTTCATAGGAACGACGTTCCTTGCGCGGGGGGTGTGACTGCACTTCTTGACTATTTCGGGCTAAGTCCTTTTCAAGGCGGGACATCAGCCAGTTCGACGGGGAGAAGGGCTTTGAGAGTCGTCCTGTCTGTGTCTCCGTGGTGGAGATCGAGAGATGTCCTCTTATCGTTGGGTAGGAGGAGTTCGGGAATCAGGTCTTCGGTGTTTTCTGGGGGAACAACGAGTTTGTTCGAACATCATGAGGCGTTCGCCCTCCGAGAAAATCATGTAGTTCATTTGGTTAATTGGTGCGAACAAGGCCTTGGTCGAAGGTTCAGCATTCTCAGGAACGGGATCTCCTCATACACAATGGGCTCGTAATTTTGTTGAGGTTTGTTGACATCGTCACGTGGTTGCGAACGGGTGGAAGAGGATGCGGTCATCCTGTGCCTAAAGTCGTACTCAGTAACGTTATTGTTGACGGCGTTATCGTTATTGTCAGTGTCGGCGAAGTGAACGTTTTGGTCACCGTTGTTAGCTTGGTCGACCATGACGATCAGAAGGTTGAGAAAGAGTTGCTTTGGTCTTAAGTAAACGAAAGATGGAGAAACTAGATTCCCACCGACGTCGCCACTGATCATACCTGAATAGAAGGGATCGTCAAGGCCCACGGGCTTTGAGTTGAGTAACAGTTGAATGTGAAGTGTGGGGGGATACCTGCAAGATACTTTAATGCAAAAGTAAGGCTCAGAGTAAGTGAAAGTAAAGTGTGAGAGTAGATGAATGAATACATGACCCTCTCAAGTGAGAGGGTTTTTATCACCTCCAACGCTGCGCCAAGGTCTCTAGTGTTGGGTCACGATGAGACCCAATAATGAAGACTGTCAGGGTTTACAGGTGTATGGAGTCCAGCACATGTCCTCCTCCTTGGTCAGCCGCCCCGAGGAAATAGAGAAATTGAACCCATTATTCTCGGAGGGCATGATGTTGGCGTTATGGACACGTACAAGTCACGTTCCTCTAGTGAACACGTAGGGAAATGCCCAACAATCTTTGATTTGGACCGCATGCTTTTAGGCCTTTGTAGATGCGTTGGATTAGGTCTCCCCAACTATGGAGCAGGTGTCGGCCAAGTCAAGAATATATATATATATATATATATATATATATATATATATATATATATATATATATATATATATATATATATATACACACACGCTCATGTGGAGTCTTCGAGGATCTGTTGGTCAGAGTAGACTATTTCTTACAGATTAATTTTAGACATGGCACATAGGTACATGTACTCCTTATAAGACTTTTTTTAGCAATAGATAACGCTTTGATAGATGTTGATGGGATAAATCATCTTGCGGTTCAATAATGAGAAAGTAGTGTTCAATGTGTTTGAATCTATGAAGCATCAGAATGAATATCCTCAATGCTACATTTGATATAGTTGTAGAAACGGTTGAGGAAACATCAAAAAGCAACAATATAAGTGACAAGACAATAATAAATGATAAAATTATTACTTTAACTAAATAATAAATAATTTAAAAATAAGTGACAAAGACAATTATTATACAAACTTTAAAATTTTTTTTCAAAAAAGTTAATAAACAAAATAATAATTATATAAATTAAAATTCAATCACAACAATATCATATTTATTAAAATTCATAATACTTCAACTGAGGTATATAATTTATAGTTTGTGTGAAAACTTGTACTAGTACATAGTTTTACTACTAAGAGCAGTATTGTGCATGTGTTGATTAATTTATCAGTGTAGAAAGAATTATCAAAAAGAGTTAAATAACAAATTGTTCATAAACTAAAGACTACTATCAAGTTAATATTACATCCTCCCTAGGTTTAAGTTATTACCAAAAGAATTGCAGTTTGAGCATTTATCCCTTTTCATATAATCACACCGTACCTTGAATTAATCGCATAATATTTATTATTTTCAAAATATTTTACATTAAGAGTAAATTTATCTAACTTTTTGAGTTGGGTAAATTAGACTTTTTATTATTTCAGATTCAAATTTTAAATTCTACCCATAGTTATTAAGCTGTCGTTTAAATTATGTCTATTTTCAAATATAAATATGTATACTAGATGTCATGTAAATTAGTATTAAATATTCAAACTGGCAATTACACCAAAAGTTGAAATGGTAAGTTCTCAACAAACATGACAAGATTTGTCAGTTCCAACTTTGTTTAGCATTTTCTTTCAAACCGCATTCACATGTTTGATCTAAAATAATGTGAATATTATTACACACTTCTTAGCCAATAAACCAAGTTAGAAAGTGACCCTTACAAGTTTGATCTTATAATTTTAAAATTAAAATGAAACTCTATTAATTAATTTATAATAGCACGACTCTTAATAATCGTAATAAAAACCTAATCATATTCCATGAGAGGAAGAAGAAAAAGGAGCATGACCAAATCCAAAAGCTTTGACATGATCTTTCAATGACCTCTTGTGTTTGAAATCTGAACCACAAATACAAAGCCAACGCTTACCACAATTTTTCTCATGAGTTCTCCAATCACCTTTCACTGCCAAACATTTCCCACATTTTCTACATGTAAAGCTTTTCGAGCCGTGCTTCCTTTTGTAATGTGTCTGCAATGTTCTGAAATCTTTCAATGGCTTAGCTCTTGGATGCTCAATGTTGTTCTTACATCCCTTTGAACAACAATAGCATGGAATGTCCAACAGCGGTCGCGGATGAGTTCTTTTCAGCGAGCCCGGTCCTCTTCGATACTGCGAGCCGTGACCCCACATATGCATCTGAAACACGTTAGAAAATAGATAATTAGGGTTCAAAGTTTTTAAACTATTCAAAAGCTTAATAACATGAAAACTACTACACCTGAAGGTTGTTGTAACGGTTAAAAGTTTTGTGACAAACGGAGCATGAGAAATGACTGAAACCGATGCGAATATGTTCTTCACTTGGTATCCAGTAATTGTTTGGAGCGGAATTGGGAGCAATATCAGTTGGTGTTTCAATTGAAGGGAGACCAATATGTAAGGCCACTGTGAGATCTACAGTTTGATTCAAACATGATGCATGAGTCATGTTTTGCTGTGAAGATTGTTGAGGAGTTGAATCTAAGAAGCTACTTAGCAATGGGAGAGGTTGAAGATAGTTTTGATTCATATTACAGTACTATGTCAAGGAGTTGAAAAAATGAATGGAATTATTTTCTTAAATGCAAAACAAGAAAAAGCAAGGGGAGTTGAAAACATGAATGAAATTGTTTTCTTAAATAATAAAGACTGTAGCAACAATACATAAACTGGAATGTAATAGAAGATGGAAAAGTGGAAGAGTGAAAGAAATTTTGTGATAGGTTGCAGGAGAATATTACAGTTGAATAAAAAGAGCATTTGTGACAATGTAATAATTTTCTACTATATGTCTACATTCTCTATTTTAAGCTTGGATAAGAAAATGCATTAATTATGTGGGCCTTAAATATTTAACTTTAGAATATATTTCATAAGAGTGAATTTTAATTTCATGGGAACACATTGAAATTGTCAGAACATATTCTTAGTACTAGGTTGACACTCAATCTATAGATTAATGGAGGTTAGCTAAAATCTTTTTACTAAAAATTGGTAAGAGCAAAAAATAGTATTAGGATTATTTTATGGTTCATAACAAAATTACAATTGATTCTTAATTTTGGATATGATTTTTATAAATATAAATTATTTTTGAAGCTCAATTACAAATAAGGTAAATCAATGAAATTAGTATAGCAATAACGTGAACTCTATTTAGAATTACTATATAATCCTGATATGTTGTGGGGACAACTTTGTTTTCTTTCTTAATTTTGAAGTCACTTCATGTCCATATATAAATCATGTCTAAATCATTTTTTTAATTCAAATTTGATGTTTATTTAGGTATATTTGTGCCTTATTATAATGAACACAAGGAGATTACAAGAACCGGTTAAATATTTTTATTTTCTTATTTTAGCTTGGTAGTTCAACGTTAGAATTAATATTTTTATAACTAGTAGATTTATTTCGGCGATTTTATTCTATAATTGAATTGGAATTGATCGGAGAACGGAGATAGCAATGTGCAACAAAGGATATGTGATTATACTACAGTGGACGAGGAGTTTACTTGATAGAGTTTGAAGAGGACGAACCCACAGAAAAGAAAAATCTCAGACTTTGAAATCTATGGAAAAGTCTAAAAAGATTAGAGCCATTCAATCTAAAGAGGAAGAGGAATCTGAAGAAAATTCTGAAGAAGAAGATGAATTGACCTTTTTGGAACTCTTATGCATTGACCTTTTTGGACCAGTGAGAACTGTTTCTATCAATTGAAAGAAATATGGTTTAGTCATTGTTGATGACTACAACATATGGATACGAGTTAAGTTTCTTAGACACAAAACGAGAAGGATTTTAAAATTGTTTAAGTCAAAAGTGATCATGGTGTCGAGTTTGAAAATAAAAATTTGAAAATTTTTTTTGATGAAAATGGCAACCATGATTTCTCTTTCCCTAGAACTCCACGGAAAAATAGAGTTCTAGAGAGTAAGAATAGAACTTTGCAAGAAATGGTTAGAACCATGACCTACGAGACTAACATGGCTAAGCACTTCTAGGTTGAGGCATCTAACACATCATTTTATATTCAGAACATGATCTATATAAGACCCATTTTAAATAAGATTCCATATGAACTATGGAAGAATATAAAACCCAACATTTCATATTTTCATCCTTTTGGATGTGATTGTATTATTCTAAACATTAAAGAAAGTCTTAACAAGTTTAATTCTAAAGCACATAAGTGTTTAATGTTAGGATACTCTCAATTTTCCAAAGGTTATATAGTATACAATACAAAAACTTGAATTATTGAAGAATCAATTCATGTTAGATTTGATGATAAGCTTGACCCTGAAAAGTTAAAGCTAGTTGAAAAGTTTGCAGATTTGGAAATCACCTATTCAGGCTCTAAAGTTGAAGAAACTAATGCTAAATAAACTGACACAAAGGGTTCAGACATTGCTCAACCATAAGTTGTTGAAGCTCAAACTCCTCTGAGGAAGCACATACAAATATCTTCACATTCTGAAGAATTGATTTTTGGTCACAAGACTGAACCAGTCAGAAACAAATCCTCATTCAAACTTTCTAAAGAAACACTTTTGGGTTTGGTGTTCCTCATAGAACCTACATCAACTAATGAAGCAATTTTGGACACATAATAGATTTTAAAAATGCTAGAAAAACTCAATTAATTCTCCAGAATTCATGTATGGGATCTTATGCCTAGACCTAAAGGAACTCATGTTATTGGAACTAAATGGGTTTTCATAAACAAGCTCAATAGGAAAGGATAAATGGAAAGAAACAAGGGAACACTAGTAACACAAGGTTGTAGTCAGCAAGAAGGGATTGGATATACAAAAACCTTTGCACCATTTTCTAGGTTACAATCTATTCGTCTCTTAATTTATTTTGTTGTTAATCATAATGTCATCTTGTATCAGATGGAGGTTAAGAGTTCATTTAAGAATGGTTACATAATTGAAGAAGTGTATGTACACCTATCATACCCAAAAAAATTCCTACCCTTTTTCTTTTGTCTGGCTTAGGCTTTGCAGAATTTTTACTAGTTCATTTGCATATCATTCCTTCATTTAATAAGGTAATGGTTCATAGCATCAGTGGTTGTGCCAGCTAGGGTTTAACATTGATTTGAGGCTTCAACATTCAATAAGGTTGATTTCTCTGGTTCCTCCTTGTGCAATGGATTATGGGATTAGGTTTTGAAGTATGATTACTATGTGTTTCTCCTACTTCAAGTTACATGGATATTTTTCCATCAAGATTTCATAAAGTTCATATGCATTGAGGTTTTAACTTGTGGTGTTTATGATTCATCATGTTTTAACTGAGGATTAAGGTTTTCATATTAGTTTTCTTTGTTGAAAATATTAATGCTCAAGGGTTCTTCAAGTAATTTCTTAATATCATCAAGTAAAGAATAATTTTGTTAAGACAAGGGATTGGTGGATTAAATTGAATCACGATACAAAAGTTGGAATTGTGAGTTCATTGTAATCAATGCATTAATGCTCCCTCAAGTACTTGTTGCTTCAATTTCAAGTTAACTTGAATTTTGAGAATTTAAGTTAGGGGTTCATTAAGATGCAAGATTTGTCATTGTAATTTGGAGGTGAAGAATTATCAAGTGAACCAAGGTTTCTTAAAATGCAATTAATTTATTCATGGTTAATTTTGGATTCAAGGAACAAGTTACATTCATGAAAACAATTCAAGGCTTTATTCAAGCATCATTCAAGTGCTCCATTCAAAATTAGAGATCATATTATTCATCATCCATTACAAAAGAAAATCAAGTTCATTCAAATTCACCTCCAAAATTCATTCAAGTTCACAAGTTTCATCCAAACATCATTCATTATTCCATCCATGATTAATTACAAGGTTACAAAGAAATTCATTGGTTCATACATCTTTGTGTTCATAAAATCATCATTATTTCAAGTTCATTCAACATTGTGCAAGATACTTTATCATTTGGAAAGCTTTGAATAAAAGAGAAGAATGTTACAACATTAAGATTACAACATTTGAACCATGTTTACCATTACACTAAAAGCTACAAATAGAACTACAAAAATCTTTTCTTTTTCCCTTTTAACTCATTCATGGATTTCCCTTAGCAAGCATAGTTTTAGATAGACACATCCTTACAAACAACAATTGAAGTGGATTCTATGAGTACAACAGATGTGAGGGGTGTTAAAACCTTCCCCTCATATAATAGACTTTCATTCCATTCCTCTCGGTCGCAAGACAATCTTATCATTTCTTTTGGGATTTTCTTGATATTCCCCCTTCCTTCGGGATAAATAAATTTTGGTGGAGGCTTTATGTTTTTTGTCGGTTGCTTCAACACTAACCTCCTGGTTTTAAAATCACAAAAATCCTGATTTTGTTTTCATACTTAATAAATCATTGTATGGTATGTAACAAGCTCCTAGAACATAGTATGAAAGACTAAGCAATTTTATTTTAGAAAATGATTTTACCATAGGAAAGGTGGATACTACTTTGTTTTATAAAATATTCAAAATTATATTCTAGTAGTTCAAATATATGTAGATGGTATTATATTTGGTTCTACTAATGCTACCTTATGCAAGGAGTTAGATAATCTATGTAGTATGATTTTGAGATAAGTCTCATGGGAGTACTCAAATTCTTTCTTGGAATCCAGATTAACCAAAGTCCATAACAGACATTTATCCATCACATTAAGTTTGACATGTTAGAATGCAAGATTGCAAAGACTCATGCACTAAGAGTATTTTTTAGTAATCTAAAAGGTACTACTAACCTTGGCTTGTGTTATAGAAAATCAGAATATTACAAGTTAATAGGTTATTATGATGTTGATTACACTAGAGATAGACTAGAGAGAAAAATAACTTATGTAAGTTGTCTATTTCTAGGAGATAATTTGATCTCATGGTCCAGCAAGAGGCAATCAACAATTGCAATGTCAACTGCCGAATCTGAGTATATTGCAGCTTCTGGATGCAACACTCATGTCCTCTGGATGAAAAACCATCTATAAGACTTTCAAATATATGAGAGTAATATTCCTATTCTCTGTGATAATACTTCTCCTATATGTGTATCTAAGAATCTCATTTTACATCCTAGAGCTAAGAATATTGAGATTAAACATCACTTTATACGAGACTATGTTCATAAGGGAATTTTAAATTTTAAATTTATAGATATTGACCATCAATGGGCTGATATCTATATAAAACCCCTTGCTGAAGATAGATTTGTTTTCATTCTAAAAAATTTAAAAATAGTGTTATTGATCCGCTGTCGCGCGCGGGTCAAAAACGAGTTAAATTGTAAATTGTAGTAACGACGGTAACGGTAACTCGAGTATCGTCTCTCAAGGACTCTTGGGTTTTACTAACTAAAATCGAAATTGGGGGGTTGTTTGGTTCGAGTTTAGGCAAATAAGCTAATTATAAAAAGTGATTGTAAAATAAGCTGTTTGGAAATAAGTGATTATAGATTGAGTCGATCTACTGTTTTGGGTTCCTACTATCATCGATTATTATA